CACAGGCAGGATGGGTGGGGGTGTGGGGCGTGGGTGTGGGTGGGGGTGTGCGGGTGGGGGGGGTGGGGTGGGGGGGTGGGGGGTGGGTGTGGGGGGTGGGGTGTGGGTGTGGGGTGTGGGTGTGTGTGTGGGTGTGTGAGTGAGTGTGGGTGGGTGTGGGTGTTGGTAGGTGTGGGTGGGTATGGGTGGGTGTGGGTGTGGGGTGTGAGTAGAGATCTTTCCCACACCCTCACACCCCCATCCCCACCCACACCCACACCCACACCCACACCTACAGCAAAGTTTCATCAAAGCTTCCAAAGGCCTTAAAATAAGCGAACCTCTCATAAATGTTTTTTTGACCCCAATGAAGCAAGATAACAAACAAACAAACGCATTTTATTTCGTATGACCCTCCTTTCAGTCGAGGGAATATTAAAAAGTACTGACGTTTTATAGTTCATCTTCCGACAAACTCGTAATAAATATGTAACATTCACTTCAATTTTCTATACGATGACAAGTGCTTCTTCCGAGCTGTTAGTTCAAAAAACTAAACTAGGAAAATTTCATTAATATCCATTTAAACAAATTTAGAAATATTTGCAGCAGATCAAGAAAATGATTTCACATTGCAGCAAAAACAAAGATAAAAATAAATTGGAAAAGCAAAAAGAAAAATAGATTAACACTAAAAGAGTGAAAAGTATAATGCCGAATTTTCTAGCCTTTCTACGTATAGGCAAATACAATAATTTCAAATTTTCAAATCTTTCACTTTTCTTGACTGACCTTTGCTTAAGTACTTTTCACATTCATTCTGAATTTTATAGTTGTCATAATAAAACTATAAGCAAAACAAACGAGGAAATGAAGGCATAACTGAATCTATATTTCAAATAATCATTGACTTCCAGTTTTCTGCATATTTTAGTGTCCTCTACTATATCCGCATTGATTTTCTCTTCTAACACAAAACAAGCTACTCACGATTATTTTGTTACAAAACATGTGAAAGGAACAAAGACTTATACATTCTAACAAGCAGACGAATTATCAATCATTTTATTACAATTTTCAAGCATGCAGTATGTTAAGGTACACTTAAAATAGTGTTTTATGTCTCCAATCAGTTACATAAATAATTGAGTGATGCAATAATACAAGCAAAAAAAAGACATTGGAAATTTCCGAGTAATATGATTCATACATGATTCTAGTCTTTATCACGTTATGTCAATAACGCAGGAGTATATATCTGCATATAAAACGAACAGTAAGTGCATAGATTTACAGACGATCAACGAACTATAAATAGAACAAGAATAAAATGTCATCAATCGTTTATTCTTTTCATTGGGTACAACGGTCACTTGACGAAAAGAAACAACGTCAATCCGATTCACAAAAACAGATACCAACGACACCAATGGCAAATTCAACTCAATTAAGAAACTCTTCTTTTCCATTATTAAACCAATCATTTAAACTTGAAACAAATAATAATCTACAAGAATATACTCATACAATCAATGATAATTTTGAATTTCTTCATTCTATTATGTAGATATTTTGAACAGATTAATATTCATGTAAATAAATATTACCTTTCATATCTTTATTTTTTTTAAGCATTTCTTAAGCTTGTTTCTTCTAACATAAAATAAAAAGAAACTTGAAGTATATGTGATGAATTAATAATATAAATCATTATAGAAATTGATAAGAAATGCATACAGTTTATCAAAAAACAATCGTATCAATAAAAGAAAATGTCTATTATCAACAAACAAGTTTTATTTAAGATGAAAAGAGTTTTAAGAAATGATAAACTACCACACAAGTCAATATAAGACTGTTTCTATTCTTTTCAGATTGCTTTTTTTAATTTAAAAAACTTGTTCAATCGATTTATGGTCACATTTAATGACCTGGTAAAAAAGAAAAGTTGTACTTGTAGTGCATGACAGACAAAGTTAAGATCACATCATAACTCTGATATGAAGTTCTTATTCATCAGCAAACTGAATCCATTATATTTCGTGTATAAGTTTCATCCGAACAGTGGCGTAGCCAGCAGGATGGCAATTCGGCAATTGCCGCCTAAATCAAATTTTATTGCCACCTAATTTTTTAAAAATGTGGGCAATTGCCTATTGTCAAAAAATGTAAATACCTGTGTATACTTATATTTATTAATGTAGAATGACTAATTTCTCTTCAATAAACAACGGCTTCTGTAATGCGAATAAGTTTTTGAAAAATTATTGCCCACCGCTGCCACCTACTCAAAATAATTTAGCTGGTAAATGGTCATGTACTTAAAAAAACCTGGCTACGCCACTGCATCCGAGTATACTGGGAATTTTTATGATAATGTGACATATTGACAATAGTCATTGTTATTGTCATATTTCATTTGTTTCCTTTCTGTTCTTTCATTTCGTAGAATGAGTCATCGCTATATATATACTTGCTTTTTCTTAAAAACCATTGATTACTCTTGTTCGTTTCGTTTCGTCTATCTTGTTTCTGTTCTTTCCGTCAATAAATAAGTTATTCACCTTGACCTTATTGTATTACGCAATTGATAATACAATATTCACTTCTGAATTACGTATTTAACTTTCAAATACATGACAGATAATAACATTAGTTTCATTGTCTTCACTTGTTTACAAAAGAGTACTAACTTAAGAAGTACTTCTATTCAGTGGACTTGGTCAATTCTTTCTGGATAAGAACTAACTGTTATGTCCTGCATCTTATTCAGATGCGTTCATAAGGATTTTCCTTCTTTTTCATCAGGTTTATACATATGTTCTTATACTCTTCTTCTTTTATCTTATTGGTAGTCATGCACCATGAACTTTTCCTTTTCTTTCATATATGTTGAAATTTTCGCTTCCTTTGTGCATCGTTTATGCGATTTTCCAACCCTTGTTATCACTATATATAGCGTTACGAGATATGAAAAGAGGGAGATATATATAAAAGTAAATATATAAAGATTTTTGGGAAGTGAAATAAGATCTCACACTAACTAAATAAAGTAGAATTAAATCATGAAAGAACAGCTGATGATCGTTGTTTCTTTTTTCACATCTTTATTGGAAATGCGATTGTAACAACTGATCTTCTTTGTTTTTGTAATAATATATTGGATCGCAGATCCATATGTTTTAATCATTCTTGTTGGTCAAATTACTTTGTCAAATATCATGCGCTACATCATTTCCAACAGGATTTCAAATTAACTTGATTTAGTCTACACTGTAAATATCGTTCTATGCTATTACAATTTCTTTTACAAAATAATGAACACATCTTATTTAATAAAAAGTAAGAGTGCTCGTCTTCTACTTTTAATGATTGTGTTTCTGTACAAAATATGAATGAGCTTGGTTTTATATTCAAAGAAGAAGATGATTGGCATCACAAATTGTTCGAATTAGAATGGGAACGAAACAAAATATATTATACATGTATAAGAGTTATGGAGACAATATCAAGAAGCACTTCGGGTAGAATCTCTGGAAAAATGAAAGATTCATCTAAATTTAGATAAAATGTTTTTATGTGTGACAAAACAAATTAAGAATCGAATCTAATAGTTACAAACATTTTTTATGGAGAATTAGAGAACTTGTAGTTTTTAGTCATATGAGCATGATAGAATGATTAGAGAGCTGTCTATGAAATAAGCACTAACTATATTGACAAAGATAAAGATACTACTGAAGTGAATGATTATGGCAATCGATCCTTAACAGTTAGGTCCTTCCGACTATTTATGCATCAGTAATAATTAATTGAATATATCAGCTTTTATGTTTATACAGAAATTAGTACCAGTCGACCAGTAGAAAAACGCTTCGGTATAGCCAAATTCGGTCGAGCACCACTATTGAAACAGAATCATTTTCGACAGTCAATTTATTTTTATGAATTCTACTATCTATCAAATGAAAGCAAATTTTTTCAAACGTAGTAGATGGTCAGTTTGTTGTTTTTAACATTCATTTATTAGCAACTATAAAACTATACAAGATAATGGATAATTTGAAAATCATTAATGCTGATAATGATGAGAACGAACAAAATGATGAAAATATGAATACCGTGGGCCCCAATATGAACACCAGAAAAAGTTGAGGTTTAAATTTCGGCTAAGAACTTTCCGTAAAGAAAGGCTTCAATGAGAATAGTTTATTGCAAAAGTTTCAAGTCTTTTGGTTATTTCTATTCTATAGCACTCATATACACACAGAAATTCTTCTTGTCTTATTTGAAAAAAACTGTCATAAATAGATGTGAAGCTTTCACAATAAACTATTCTTATTGAGACTTTTCTCTGTGCCAACTTTTCGAGTCAAATTTCAAACTTAGTTTTTACTGACGTTCCCGAGTGGAACTATGGCAAAGTGCTAAAAAATAACTCCATTAAAATGCAATAAATCTGTAGTCATTAGTTAGAGATAGAAATTATTTTCAGAGTATTCATCACTCATCTGACTTATATAATCACGATTGAAAAGCACGTTGACGTCTGGAAATGTTCTCTTGTAAAAGTCAAAAAATCGCTTTCAGATTAACTTGAAATATGTAAAAAATTACTAGTAGAATATTTGCATGCTTTTTAAGTTATCGAAAATAAAATAGATTGCTGATGTTTAACTTTGCTTTTCATAAGATTTAGTACAAGGTATCACAGAACAAAAACTGTGATACATTATCATAAATATATATCTATAATTGAAGACTATTTTATCAAAATGTGATTGTTCGAAAGCAGCATTTTCTATCATTAATATGTTTTCCATAAGACTGAATGTCATGACAAATATACGTTCGATTATCTTTCTTCTAAGTCAAATTAGGAACAAAAAACAAAACAAAAATTGAAGTTCTTTATTATTCATATTTCAACATAGAAGAAAGAAAGTGAAATTATAATAATAATAATCATATGCGTATGTATTTCTTCTGTGAAAGTTTTTTTTTTAATGTATATCATTTTTTTATACAGATTCATTATTTTTCACGTCATACGTACACGTGACAGAAAAAAAAAAAGAAAAAGAAAATTGAAGAATATGTCTTTTTGTATGGAAGAGAAATATTGAACACATATCAACTAGGAAAAAAATATATATCTGACATGATAATTAACACATTGATAATATCACTTGGGTCCTTCTTTGATAACAGGTATAACAATGGGTCCTGGCATAGGAAAATTTTGTGGATCAAAATGTTTAAAATAAGGATGATTAAGACATTGTTTAGCTGATATACGTCTTATTGGATCATAGACAAGCATTTTCTATAAAAAATAAATATTTTAGAGAAAAAATAAATAAAAACAAGTCTAAACGAACAAGAAGTAAATCAAGGGCATCATCACGCATTCGATCATTGAGTAATGATGATAAATCATTGATTTGTTTCCATCGTGGAAATGAAGATTTAAATTCTGGTAATGATACAACACCGGGCCATGTTTCATCTGTTGGTGTACCAAGTGTTCTAGAAAAAATTATTTATAAAAAAAAAACTTTATTTAGTTCTTTTTGAAACAATATTTCTTTTACCGAAATATACGAAAGAGTTGATCAATTTCTGAATCACCTTGAAATAATGGTCGTTTTGTATACATTTCAGCAAATATGCAACCAACAGACCAAACATCAACTAATAGAAATAGATATGATATATCACTTTAGTCAAATTTTACATCAATAAAATTTGAGAAAAATAAATGAAAATTCATGTTTAGATCATTTATCTACATTTTCTATGAAACTTTGTCAAATGTAGAATCATTATATTGATCATAATCATTGTTTAAGGCCCCCCCCCCACTCAAAAACCGATCTCAGCCCAGATATGTTCAAATGGCCTGAAATTTGGAGCATATATTGGGGCTGAAGTGAGGAGGCTGTGGTAAAATTCTCAGCTCGATACTATGACGTTTGACAGAGATATGAACCAAACAAGGGTCAAAAATAGCTCATTTTCTGTCCAAGATTTCTCGATCCAGGCTCATGCTATATGTTTAATTTTGTTTTTGTTTGAAAGAGCATGTCCAGATGCAGGGCACCACAGAGT